CACAAGCGCCGTGCCGTCCGTCTCGATCTTCACGTGCAAACAACTGTCTGTGTAGCACTGGCCAATGCCCAGCGACACAAGAATGCTGTGCAGCAGCAAGTTCCATAGTCGACCCGATTGTTTAAGACCGTACAAGCCTTTCTTTAGCCGTAGAGCGAGCTCTCTCCTGCTCTTCACTCCCAGCAACTTCAGCAACATCTACGTAACCACCATGCCCAACGGGATGTGTAGTAGAATCTCTAGGTTGGCTTCTTTGTCGGCCTTCACATAAGCACTTGGTACGTCTCCGTGCCGAGCCGGGACTCGCCAGATCCGAAAGACCACGAGAATAACCCTTCCCGACGTCAGCTCGAGCACGGCCGAGAACGTGTACGTATAGTCCACCCCGTACTCCTGCTGGTCGCCACGTGCCACTAAACGCGCTTTGTAGCGCTCGATGTGCCGTCGGCGTGCTTCTTCAGCTTAAAGACCCATTTGATCTGAAATAGCTTAACGTTCCTTGGCTTCTTGATGGCCTCCCACGTGCCATTCTGCTCGAGTGCTTCGATCTCTTCCTCGATCGCCTGCTCCCACTTGTCAGCCCGCGGATCTTTCATTGCTTCGTAGTAGTTCTATGGGTCCTTGAGGGCTACAACGTCCACCCTAGCAACCGGCACGTGCTTGGCACCCCTAAAGATCGTACGTGGGTCCGTATTGTCCGTGCTAGACGGAACCCCTTCGTCTCTAGCTCCTTCCGACACTGCAGCGTCTTCGACTGCGTTCTTCGTGTTCTTCTTCTGTGTCGTTTTGGCCTTTTTGGCCAATTTTCTATTCGACTTGCCCGTCGGTCTCGTCTTCTTCACAGGTATTACATCGTCGGCATCCAGCGCCGGCTCCTTCCGTTTTGCAGCCTCCTCGCGCTCCTCCACAGCGCGTCGCAGATCAGGGTCCTCACGTTCAAGCTGCGCTTGCAGCTGTTCGTTCTGCTTGCTAATATGCTGCGTTGTGATGACGATCCTATCTTTTGATAAATAGACCTTGTACCCCTTCGTCTCGTCGTTCTTACCTACGATCATTCCCACTTGGGCCTTCTTGCCAGGGTCGCGGTACGGTGTGCACGGGCTACCAAACGTCACCACGTCCGATATGCAAGGCACTGCACCGGTCAGCATCTCCAACGGAGACATCCGCTTTGGGTTTGCACTGCACGAGCTGATTCAGTATTGCTCGCAGGTGCCCGACTTCATTACATTCGTGGCATGTGCGTATTTCTTCACCTCCAACGCGGGCAACGAGCCCACTGCCTCGTCCACTTTGGTCATTGTGACCTCCACTATGAGCACGACCACTTCGTCCGAGGCCACAGCGGTTGCCCTTGTTGCTGCCACTAGTGTTGTTGTGCTTGGCCGTGTTGGCTTCGTACTCGATGGCAAATGACACTAGCTCTGCGGCTTGTTGGAGATGATCGGTGCGCTGCGAGTTGAGGCGCGTCAACATCGCTCTCTGCACGTATGCAGGTACCGACTTGCACAGGCACTGCAAGACGCGCTGCTCCGAGTTACCGGAGCGTTCAGCCACGTACACTAAGTACTGGTAGTGCTTGGGCCATGACTTGCTCGAGTCCTTCTCTTTAGACATCAACTCAATGCCCTTCGCTGACGGGATCGGCGTATCAACATGTTGTTTATGACGTATTCAAGC